GTTACTGTATACAACTGAACAGAAACTCTTAAAGAACAATACTTTAGCTCTTTGAGAATTCATAGTTTCTTTCACTGGTTGGGGGGAGTGGGCTGGATTTCTTCCACCATCACAGACTTGCAGTCCCTCCATAACACGCTACATCATCTTCCAGCATATCACCCTGTGGTTGACTGAGTAATGAATCCCTCCAAACGTGTGTAGAACATCAGCCACACTGTCCATTACCACTCCATACTTAAAGACAAAGTGAATGGTGAATCTTAAAACGTAAAGACAAAGTGGATGGTGAATGTCCAAGTTGATTTTATGGTACAGGAATTATCCTTTCAAATGTGATTCTATGGTGAACTGAGCATGTGTTTTCCTTCGTTCTGTTAATATTTTATCCAGTGACTGCTATGGGTAGGACACAAAGATAGATAAGAGATGCTCTCTGCCCTGCGTTGGTGGTACTTGAGCTTCATCTTGGAGGAAGAGAAGGTTTTACTTGCTAAATATTTAATAGAATTTTGTTGCATTTAAATATTAATCTTAATTTGGTCATTACCCAGTAAAACACAACAGGCAAATGTACTTCTCTCCTAAAAGTCTAAATCGGTTGAAATTACCAAAGCAGAAACACTAGTTAAGCTCCATCACTCTAATGGGAGCTGCCCCCTTAGAGTAGATTTTTCTAGACAAAGAAATCCATGTTATCATCAACATTATTGCTTCAGCTAGTTTCTTCCAGTGAATGTGCACTGTCTCTGACTGAGGAGAATAATTTACTCGACTGTTGAGTTTTAGGTTTTCTTCTTAGAATAAAACATTATTTATAGAATAAAAGCTAAAGAAAACCCCATTTTTAGCAGAACCTGTATTATGAGCAACAGATTTGAAAAGGTGCATGTGTATGTTTCTGCCCACTGATTTATTTTAATGCATTTATATGAATCATCCTGATATGTAAGCCAAACCACAATCCTTACAGCAACACAATTTCACAGATCACATAAATGTTTTTCCTGGGGCAGGAGTGTTTGCTGTTAGGCCACTGCCTGTAGAGGGAGCTCTTTCTCCTAGCCTGTAACTTCTCAAGTAGTGGAAGCCTCACAGAAAAGGTCACCTTTAGGAACTTGAGATGTGTGATCGATATTTCTAACGAGAAAGATCTCCCAGACTTAGTTAGGTCTGCATATGTGATTGAAGAGGGAATTGATTTTCAAGTCTTTTGTTTTTATGAAGTAACACTCAATTCAAGCACTTAACAATACTTATACTTTTTTTTTAAATACTGTTTTCTTTTAGGGATTTGAAATCTTGTAACCTCTATAAAAGAATCTGTCCATGTTGTTTAGAAATGCTCAATATTTTTATCACAGAAAACTGAGTAATAAGTGCTGCAAGCATTTACTTTTCTTTAGAATCTTCCATATGCTGGGCCCATGCATAATTCAGACATATAGCACTATGACAGAATGATGGCTGTCTCATCACTCACATTGCAGCTAAAGTGCTCGAAGCTGGACAACTGAGCCATTAACTGCAAACAAATCCAGAAATCTATCAGGGAGATTTTTTTTTTTGATCAATGTTGAGTCAGAAGAGCCAGCAGCAAGAAAAAAGAACCACTTTCATTAGTCTGGTATTGTAATTAAGCCAAAATTGAGTCTCAATTGTTAGCCCTCTGGTGAGGACTCAGACTGCAATGCCACAGAACCTTTCAGATTTTCAACTTTGACCCAATGGGCCTGGTCATCACAGGCCAACGAGTTGAGTCTTTCCATTCCTATGCTACTGTGAGGACTAATGGGGCAAGCCAGTTTATTCTATTAAGCACTTGTAATGTACAAGAACCTGAATTTACTTCTGAAAAATATATATGTTCATGGCATATCCCCAGACATATACACAGATAACTAGAATGCAAGGTAGGATGTCAGGGGAAAGGAGAGATTCATGACAAAATACTCTAGGAAACCTTGAGGAGGGAGGGAATCCTCTTGAGGCTGGAAGGTATTTCAGAAGAGATGATACCTGAGCTTCATCCTGAAGGAAGATAAGGTTTCTGAAGCAATGATGAGGAGGGAGTACATTTTAGGCATGGGGAATATATGGAAGAAGGAAACAACATATCAAGTTCGGGGCATGGCTTAGTCCGGGTTGGCTAGAGAGTAAGCCTGGAAAAGTATGTTAGAACCAGATAATGGAAGGCCAGCCTAAGGAATTTGTAGTTTATGCTAGAGGCAATAGGGAGATACCACTGATTCTTGGGACAGCTAGGTGGTGCTACACTGCACAAAACGCCAGGCAGATTCTTCTTTCCGAGTTCAAATCTGGCCTCAGACACTTACCAGCAGTGTGACCCTGGACAAATCACTTAACGCTGTTTACCTCAGTTCCTCATCTGTAAAATGAGCTAGAGAAGGAAATGACAAACCACTCTGGTATCTTTGCCAAGAAAACCCCAAATGGGGTCATGAAGAGTCAGAGGGTCATGAAGAGTTGGACACGACTGAAATGACGCAACAACTCGTTCTTGAATAGGGAAATATCATGGTCAGAACAGTGTCCTATAATATGTAGGAAGTATTGGAGAGGGAGGAGATTGGAGGAGAGGGAGAGGCTTAGGAGGCTTTTACAATAGCCGAGGAGAGAAGTGATAAGGGCCTGTTGTGTCAGGGGAGGAAAAGGAATAAATACCAGAGATACTGTGGAGGTCTGGTTGCTAGGGTTTATCGGGAGCTGATTTGGTTGGGGAAACGGAGAGTCCATGATCCTAAGATTATCATATACTTAGAACTAAAAGAGAATTTGGAGGTCACATAGTCCAACTCCCCAATTTTATAGAAGAAGAAACTGAGGCCCAGAGAGAAATGTCTTGCTTAAGGTCACACACAAAGTAATAGAAGTGGGATTCAAAGCCAGGCCTTCTGAATCCAGATCCAGTACTCTTCCCACTGTGGATATGTTGAGTTTGAGGTTTGGGTAGAATATCTAAGTGATGCTATACAGAAGGCAGTTGAAAATGCAAGCTTGGAAGGAGGGAATAAGCATTTATGAAGTGCCTATTATGTGCCAGGCCCTGCGCTAAGCATGTTTTATAAATATTATCTCATTTGATCCTTGCTACAACTTTGTAGTAAGTAGGTCCTATTATTATTCCCATTTTATAGTTGAGGAAACTGAGGCAAGCAGAGGCTAAGTGATTTGTCCAAGGTCACAGAGCTAGTAAGTGTACGAGGCTGAATTTGAACTTAGGTTTTCTGACTCCAGACCCAGCTGTGCTACCTAACTGCCTCTGGGGAATGTTTGAAGTTGGAATTTGGAAGTCATCTGTGTAGTGATAATGACAATTGAACCTGTAGGAGCAGATGAGATCACAAAGGGAACTTGTAGAGAGAAGAGGACATAGGACTGAGTTCTTTGTCAGGGGTGGGGGGGGGGCACACTAGAGAGTGGAGGGTGATGATGAACTGGCAAAGGATACTGAGGACAGAGCTTTGAGGTGAACTCACAGTTAGGGGACAGTGAAGGAGACTGAGAAAGAGTGGTCAGAGAGATAGGAAAACCAGGAGGGAGCAAACAGAGAGTGTTCAGAAGGAGCTGAATGCTCCCAAAAAGTCAAGGAGAAAGATGACTGAGAAAAGGATGTCAGGTTTAACAAGCACAAGGTCTTGGGTGACCTTTAAGAGAGCCCTGGCATTTAAGTCGTCTCTTTAAGAGGCAACTGGCATCAGAAGCTAATTGCAAGGGGCTGAGCAGAGAGCAGGTGCAGGCAATGGATGGAGTAAATGCCTCCTTTTAGGAATTTAGCTGTGAAAAGGAGTAGAGATATAGTGCTACTGTGTGGAGATGGCAGGGTCAAACGAAGGTTTTTAAAAAACAGACTTCTTGTTATAATTTGTTTTTACATCCCCTAGATTTTCCTCTGCATCCCTCCTCCTTGTCCCTTCCAGAAAAACATCCCTTATAACAACAAAAAAGGAAGAAAGAAAGAAAGGAAGGAAGGAAGGAAGGAGAGGAAGAAGAGGAAAAATCAGGAAAAGTGGTCAACACATCCAAAAGATCTAACCTGCCATGCAGTGTCCCACACTGAGGGAACCAACCTCTGCAGAGGCAGAGGGAGAGCTGTCTTCTCTTGTCTCTGCTTTGGGATCAAGTTTGGTCTTTCTAATTTCTCAACATTCAGTTCAAAAGAATGTTTTTTAAAGGATTTGAAAAGACTTAAGCATGTTTGTAGCCAACAGGGAAGGAAGCGGTTGCTAGGAAAGGACTGAAGATGAGAGAAAGAACAATTAGCCAAGCTCCTGAAAGGGAGGAGATCAGGAGGGAAGGGATTAGCTTTCACAAGGAAGGCCAAAGAAGAAGAGGTTGGTTGAAGATGCCCAGAAGTTCTGGCATGTGGAGAAAGGGCAAGAAAGGAGCTTATGGTGAATGACTCCAATCTTTTCATGAAAGTGGGAGATGAGGCCCTTGGCAGAGAGAAAGGTGGGGTGAGGTTTGAAGTTGAGGGCTTGAGAAGATTAGACCTGCAATTACGGGCATGGGATAGAAAGGCAGGGCAATCAGGCATGAACAAAAGAATTTGTGTGTAGCAGTGAGAACCCAGTTGAGGTTAGAAAACATGAATTTGTAGTAATCCCACTCAGCAAGGTTTAGTAACTTCCTCCAGAACTGTTCATTGACTTGGGAGTAGAAATGAAGAGGACAAATGCTCCGCTGCATCCTGGGCCATCTCCAGTTGTCCTGATCTGGGCCACTGGACTCAGATAGCTCCAGAGGAGAAAGTGAGGCTGGTGACCTTGCACGGCCCTCCCTCACTTAAATCCAATTCATTTGTAAGTCATGGCATCACCTTCCTGATGTGGCAGTCCTCTTCAAGAATGAAGGACAAACAACAACGACAACAGAGGAAGACAAATGGGGGAGGGGGAAGGTTGACCAAAGTTAAGAATCAGCAGGGCATTAGCAATGGAAGGCCAAGGGGGCAAGAGAGTAAAGGTGGAACATGCACAATTGGACGTTTTTGAACTGGTTAGTTGTAGGATCAGGATGACTGTGATAGGAGGAAAGTGAAGCCGGAACAAGGGTGATTGACTAGGAAACCTGAAATTGAGAGACTGGAGGGCCAATAAGAAAAACTGACATTTTGATGGCACTACATTTATCCCTGTCACATCGTGGGGTTAGGGGTACAGTGCACCCATGATCTGGAAAATCCGAGTAAAATGTTTTGGTCCTACCTTAGTAGCAGAGAAAAAGTCTGAATTTTTTTCTTTTTCTTTTATGGGGTGTTTACAGTACCTTATTGTAAAACTTGAGTTAAGTATTTGGTCATAGGCTCTGTGTTATTTGTTGACCTTTTCATGTCGTCCGCAGTTTCCACAAAACTCCCCAAAAAATCCCATTTAATTTCTTATGCTGACCCACAATGTAGCGAAACCACAATGGGGAAAGTCTCGAAGTGGAAAGCTGCAATGTGGAGGGGATGACTGTATAAAGTTTACAAAGGGCTTTATAGACATTCTCTCATTTGATCTTATGAGGTGGGTACAGCTATTATTATCCTCACTTTACAGATGCAGAAACCAGGGCTCAGAGACGGTCTGTCTGGTCACACAGCTGCAAAGCATTGAGGGGGGATTTGATCCCAGATCTTCCTGACAAGCCCCAGCACAGATGCCTCTCAAAGGACAAAGAGCAAGTTTATGAAGAGTGAGGTGAAGGAGAGGTAGATGGTCAAAGGATGGCGATCAGTTAGGGGAGGTTCAGAGTTGAAGGTCTTGGAGGAGGAACAGCTTTGCATAATTGATGCCATAACTGTAACCCTAAAGTATGACTCCTGTGAGTGGTTGCAGTACAGTGAAAGTGGAGGTCTTGGCAGTTAAAGAGGTTAACTGGGTGTTCAAATGGTCACCAACGTGAGTTTAGAAGTGATTAAGGATAAGGGCAAGAGTTTAGGTGGAAAGGAAAGCCAAGTACTGAACTCACTGAGGAAGGAGAAATTCAAACCTAAAGGGCAGTAGATGACAGCAGCACACATCTGGACAGGGTGAGATAGTTGGATGGGTGGTGTGAACCTCAACAGAGGAGAGTTTGCTGACTGATGAGTAGCAGACGGAGGGTCTGAAAGAGGCTATGGCAGTAAGACATAACTGGATGTCTCCCCCTGTCCTTATTAGTGTGGGAATATGAAAGGAGTGGCCAAAACTAAAGAAGGGTGATAAAGTTGATTATGGGAGGAAGAAAGCTAGTATGGAGGGGAGTTTGTTAACAACAGAGAGGGATTCCAGAGGGTCTGTCATGGGGTGCAGTGTGGGGCAGAGGATAGAGACTGATGTGGGATAGGACTGAAAGATAGCAGGGAAGAGGACATTTGTTTTAATCAAAAGTTACAGTTGGAAAGGCATTGAAATAGCTCTGTCACCAATACTGCAACCTTAGCCTGAGATTGTATTACCCAAACTTCAAAACAAGTTATCCATCAGTTAAGTGAAACCTCGTACGTACCTTCTTCTTATCATTCATAGTTTCTTTTCTCATACTCCAGTGAAGGAAATATCTTCTTATTTTGGTTTTGGTTTTAAGGAGCCATTTCTAACACATTTATTCCTATATTTTAGTAAGCTGCTCCTGCACCTTCCCCATCCTGTGAACAGCAAGACTGGAAAAGCGAGTTTTATCACAGAAAAGGAGATCCTTGAAGTCATCCTGACCATGAAAAGAGAGTTTGATTTCATTAATTTTTTCTGAAACCTTAATGGGGTAAGATAAGCTGTTGTCCAGTAAGACTAGAAGCATCATCAGAGTCCAAGGAAAACTCCCTGGGTGCTGAATGGTTCTGTTCATGATGAGATCATCCATTTACAGGGTGACCACTAAGGAACTGATAAGATGTCTGCAGATCAATTTAGTAGTTAGAGCAATGGAAATATTTAAACTATGGAATGATTAGTCCTTTGGTGTCAGTCAAACCAATGAAAGATGCAATGACATAATCCGTTGCTCAACAATTGGCTGTTAGGATGGCAAAAAGCAAACAAAACCAAAGCAAAAAGGCCTTATTTCTCTGTTATTTGGTTAATTTTGGTTAAACTATATAGAACTGACTTATGATGAAGTAGTTGAAATGTTCCCATAGTTAGTATACAGGTTGTCCCAAAAGTCCTGGTGCAGATTAAACTTAAAAACTTAAAACTGCACTAGGACTTTGGGGACACTCACGTTTTCATCAGCCATATTTGAGTGGAAAAGAAAATGAAGGGAAACTGTAATCTTTGAGCAATTTAGACCTGTTTGAAATATTTGTTATTAGTAACATTTAAAAACATTTTTAAAACTTTTTTTCCTATGCAGCCTTATAGTTATTACCAATGCCTTTTTTGGGGGTACTCTGCATTATATTGTGGCAAGTAAACTCCTTGGATTCTGAAAGGCATGTAGAGAAACAAGTGGCATTCTTACCAGTTGGCTATGTCTCCCTCATTTCCAATCTTTCTTCTTAATTGGTAACTTGTACTAGTCTTTTGTCCCTGTTCTCATTAAGCATAGTCTATACTGGCCGCACGCCGACCTTCTGCCAGCCGTACGCCGGTACCCACTTCTCTTATAA